AAAGAACTTGATAAGTTTTTGTTTCTGAGAAATATTTCCTAATTAGGAAATTTGGTGATAGATGGGAAAGAGTTTTTTTTAATTAATGTTTTTGTTTTATATTATACTTATTTGTAATAAAAAAAAATAATAAATAATAAAAAAATAAATAATAAAATAAATAATTAAGTTATATAAGATATTATTAAAATTAATTAATTATTTTTTTTATAAACAAGAAAAATATTTGACAATTAATTATTTTTAATAAAAAATTTAAATTTTTAAAAATATTAAAAAATAAAATATTAATTGAATAATTTTTTTTAAATTGGTTAAAGATATTAAATACAGAATTTTATTAATATATTTATATAATTTATTATTATATTAAATATTTTTACAAACTAACCATTACTATTTTAAATATAAATTAATGTTAACTAGATATTACTGTTTTTAATATTATTGATTTTTTTAAAATTAATTGATTATTTTGATTAATTAATTTTTAAATATTATATAAATAAATCTAGATTCAAATAAAATTTATACAAAAGAAAAAAAATTTCACCATTAGTTTAAACCGATTCATTCCATTAATCTAATTATATTTTTCAACTATCTGTTAAAAAATTATATAAAAAATTATAATAAAGATTGACCTTAATTATTTTAGTTACCTATTATTACTAGTCTTTAAATATATTATTAGTATAGTATAATAATATTATTTTTATCATTTATGACTCTAAAAAAAAATATTGATTAAAAGATTTTTAATCAAAAACAATTATAATATTTTATTTATCTTAAGTTACATAAATTTGAAACTAGTAAAATAACAAACTTGTTATTTTTTTTTGTTTTAATATTATATATTTATTTATTTAATACGTAATATAAAATTGTTTAAAGTCATTTTTAAAATTATTTTAATTTATATGCATAGTTGCATAAAATTCGAAAAATATGTTTAAATGTACTTGAAAAGGAGTGAGTTTATACGTTTAAAGATACTGTAGTTACTATAGTGAAAAAATTTTTTAGCAAAAAAAATTAATTTACAGAAAAGAATTTTTTTTAACCAATAGGAAAAAGTTTTTTTAAAAAAACATTTATTTATTTATTTATTGTTTTTATTGTTTTTATTCTTGCTTAAATTTTACATTGCATATAAACCAAAAAATTTTAATAAAAAACGCCTGATAATTTCCATATAATGAAAAATCATTTACTTTATACTGTAAATAGCTTATTTATTTATAATAAAAGAAATTATTTAAATATACAGCATACTGTATATACTGTGTTTTATATATAAAGAAAAAAAATGCATCGGGTTTACCATTAATAAAATCACGATTCGATTAAAAAAATAACAACAAAGTTCTTTTAATCATTGTCCAAAAATTTGGTATAAAAATAAATAAATACAGTATTTGTTTTTCGCGAGTAATCAACATAGTCGTATTGTTTCTGAAACAAGGGGAAAACAACAACGTGCAGGACGGGCACATGACAAGTCCTTATCATATTCGAGACAAAGCAAAAGTTTCCAAAGTATTCATTCTGCATATGTGTCGAGTGCACAATTTTTTTCGTGATCATTACATTTTTTTTCAATTACTATATTTTCAGGCATGGCATTTATGTTTTGTGCATGCAACTGTGAGTATTGTTATCTAATTATTCCATGATTCTCACGCATGACAGGCTCGCATAAATACGTAGGTATAATTGGCTTTTTTTTTCCCTCCTCCTTTTTCCAAATATACATACTTTCGCAAGTAAAACAAAATTCACGGATTAAACGAACCTCCATAATCGATTTCATCCAGAGTGATCACAAGAATCGTCAGAGGACTGTCTTCTCCATCGAACCTCGACACATCTTATCGAGATATAAATCATAAGACCAATTGTTTAGATCTTGTGACAGCACAATTCGTTCGTTTTTGCAATTGAAATTGAAATGAGCGAACATATGATGTCAATAATAATGCAAGGGAGAGTTTTTCCGACACATGATTACACCATTAGCAGAAACTTCTTGTCACGTCGCTTTATTTACGCACGCACGCGCACATCTTTCCAGGTCGCAAGAGTCATGAGAGTGAGACCTTTTTGAGCTTGGTAGCATTTATCGACTCAAGGTAATCATACATCGGTTAGACGATAGACTTTTGATGAATGATTAGATTCGATTAGATACACGATACAGTATACAGTATTTCCGATATAACAAATGCGCATGACAATTCGTTAATGAAGCACCAAATACATCATTGTTCAAAAATATATACTATATATACTGTATATACAGTATATTCAACTTATATTTCTTTCATCTATATAGGTTCGACAAAAACATACTCGGGGAATCGAATCGCGTGAATATGCATTAAAATCGCATGCCAAGTAAACATCAAATCTACAAGCGCATATAAAATTAATCATCAATTAAACAGCAATTGACTTGGTAATTTGTTTTTTAACAAGCGAATGGTCATGAGGCAAGTGATTTTGGCCATCAGGTGCCACATGCTGCCACCTGTTCACACTTTGGTGAAAAAGATAGCTCACGTAATGACATTGCATAGTCAGGCAATAATGTTTATTATAATCACACGCACGTAGCGAGACGTCGCTTTGTTTTTATTACGCAGTTTGCGCTCCATTTATTTAAGGGTGACCTTTCCTTTTGAGAAATCGAATTCCAGTGTTTACGTATTTTATCATTTAATATCTAACAAAACCTTGCTTCGCTTAACCTGAATTGAAAAAAAATAAATAAATATGAATCAACTTCAAATTTATCATCAAAGGCTAGAAAATTTCATCCGTATTATTCACAATTTAATAATGTCCATCGTGAGTCATCCACAGGAGATATTGAATATTCTACAATTGAATAGAGGAGCTCTTTCCAGAAGAGGTCGCCATCTGAAGGGACGAAATTTATTTAGAGCGGTTATCAAGAGAGAAGGTTCACGGGTGGGAGAAGAAGACTCCTTTGTAATCAATTCTGCCACTGAACATTTTTGGAGAATTTTAACTCCCAGGCAAAAAACATATTACCGAGATATGGCGGCAGAAGTGAATACGCTTATTCTCTCCTCTTGAGATTTTATACCTATGAATGCGACCCATGTCCTACCATATATGGTTATTGACAAAATGCACAGTAGATTACTATATGTATATCGATATGCATAATTTCCATAATTTCAGTGTCCAAATTAATAGATAATGTACGATCCAACATTTATTTCATAAAGATTTTGATTATTTGATTTTGATTTTTATAGCAAGTACATTAGATTTATCATGTGTCAAATTTTGGACAACCTATATGGACGTGCATTTATAGTATATCAGAATATCGAGAAAATCGGCAGTCTACGTAAAAGGACATGTCTTCACTTTCAATATGCTAATGTCAAATCCAAAGACGAACTTGTATCGGTTGCGGTGACTCAGACTCGAGATAGAAAATTACATTTAGACGGTTATCAATTGTATTCCATAAAAGTACAAGCATTAGAATAAACTTTCTTTAAGTTATTTATCATCTCATTAAAGAACAAAAAGATATAAACAGATCAAAAAAGAAACCGGCAAACATACTGTATACATTCATTCAGGTGTTGTTTTTTTAAAAGAACATCCTTGGAGATTTAATTTGATTTAATTTGCCATGATAATCTGTGTGTTCATCTCGTGGCACATCACAGAAGCACACGAGGTAATGTACCATAGTACAATATATGACATTGACCGACCGTCTGAAACTTGTTTAAAACTTGATCCCACTTTTTATTAACTACCAAAATTATGCTATTTAAAAAACAATGAACTTACTGTATATCAAACATAAGATGATAACCTTTCGGTTTTATGTAGCGTGTATAGTGAAACAAGAAAAAAACCAGACCGAATAACCCCATATTCAATCATAAATTGTTTATCCAGGAGGTTATAATTAGCTGTTTGAGAGAATCAATGGACTCGTGGCGTCCGTCTACTGTGACAAATTATGGTTAGATCAAGTTTACTTGCATTATTTACTACAGTTAATTACGCGAGCTTTTTTTGGTTTTGGTTAGGCTAGGAAATTTGATCGGATTCTCTGATGTTTCATTAACATAAAGAACCAATGCACTTTTTCTTTGTTTACGAACTTTGTTGTCTATCGCATACGTACACGTACGCATGTACAGTACACATGCATTTGACGCAATGTGCATGTTTTTTTTAAACGCAGAGTCTAGTGTTGTTAAACGGCTTGTCCATTGTAAGATGTGATAGATGGCATAATAAAAAGAATGTGACAATTTACCAACGGACAAGCCGTTTGACAACACTGAGAGAGTCCGAGTAAGTACTCTTTCTTTTCGTCCCCGACACGTTCACCCTGTGTGGAACTTTATGGTCAACGATCTTTACATAAAAATGGACCGTACCTGACAAGAAATCAAGACGAAGTGATGAGTATCACGCATGCATACATCCGATGTGTATGCCTAGAGATCATAGAGGATGCATTTGACGCACGGGGATCTTTTAATAGGATCCGAAATTTTTCATTAAAGGGTGCAATTATTAATGATGTGACTAGACAAAAGAATTTTCCTAATTAAAATAAAAAAGGGAATAATGGTTGATTAAAACCAACTTGTTTCTTGAAATGCTTTTTTTTGTTTCACGAAAGAACCATGAACTATTCTTATCGCTCTTCGGATAATCAACAAAGTCTTTACCCATCATTCATTACATCATTGGGGTTTGTGTACCCTTGAAAGTTGAATCCAATATGAATAAATAGAGATAGCCTTTATCATACATATCGCATCCCATATAGGTTGAAGTCCCCAACGTCGGGCATGGTACTGTATTTCTGGCACCATACGAGTCACGATCCATCCTCATCTCGCCCGATTTATTTTGTATGCGACTATCAATTATCGAATCGCGTAAGAATGTACTTCCCTTGGGGGTCTCTTTTACCCAGAGGTTGTAAAGCACTTATCGTTCAGGTAGTGCTTTCGTGTGATGCTCATGTTGGTGATTCCTTCGTCCTGCACCATATTAAGAACCTTTTGGTGCGTCCATCTCATAGTTCCCATCCATTTTCACAGCTTTTATCTTTCTTCGGGTGTTGGGTAAATCCGTATCTTTCGTGTTTTTAATCTCTTTATCGTTTTCGGTAAGCTCACCGAATTCTGTGTCATCAACGTTGACAAGCTCGTACGCAAATCTGCAGAGCCGATCCTTCCTGATAACCACAACCTTCTCGATGACTCCTCGGCACTATCGTTCCAAAATGGATGTGAAACACTTGCCTTTCCAGTTGAGACCTGACCCAATGTTTCTGATGAGTTCGTGGTCTAGATACTTCTGCATGAGGTACTCGCATTGCCTGTCAAGGGTCCTCCTTTCTGTTTCTCGGAGTTAACATGGATCTTTTTCTTTCATTTATCCTTTCTGATCTCTTGCGCTTCATCATACTTTGTTGTTGACATTGCCTTGCTCAAACATACAAAAACGGGACTTATTTATACTTTATAAAGAATGTTGAATCATCAACAATGGTGTAATATGATAATTCAACATTCCGTTGCCATCAATAATCAGGTAATATAAAATAATTACTATTGTATTATTAAAAATATCAATCAGTAAAATAAACAGAAAAATAAAATAATAAATAGAATTATTAATATTGCATTGTTTACGGCATTATGGTGCGTTTCCCGCGCTTGAGCCGATTGGGAGTGTGAAAATTTCAACAATTGTGTAAATAATCGACTTTAACCATCAATGTATTGTATAGCTGTATTACTCCTTTATCGGTTACGTGCGTACCGAGCCGTATTGTATCAGTTGTCACACTACAATGACCTCTCTTTTTCCTAATCCTTTTATGCTAGTGCCAAACTATCTACCAAAAGTTTCGTCTTTTCCTTTCCTCCTCATGTCCATTTACACTTCTTTCGCCTTAATCTATTTTCCTTCAGACTGTCCTCTTTCCCTCTTTATTATACATCTCTCTAAATAGCCTTCTATGTTGACGGCTATAATCAAAACGTGACTATTCATCTTCGGAAATACCATAAAAGGTAAGGCTTCTTTGCAACACAAAGATTTCCGTCTCACTTGAATGTTAGGGGACTTTTTTTTTTTTTTCATACAGTACGTGCGTACGTATGCACATCGCATAATGGATTGCTTGAAATTTACAAAAATATTCCGGTTTCTTATCAATCGTTATGCTCAATATAAATGCACGCACACATTTCTTTCCCGCTTGCTTGCTAACTTCCAAACTTTGATTTTATTATATCTATTTCAAAATTCTTCTCTTTTTTAATTATACTAGAAGCAAGATTCATCATTGATTTCTTTTTTTTCTCGGCATTAATAATTACCAAATTTCGATGGTTGCATGATTTTCTCTTTCTCCTTGTCAAAATCCCATCATCTCGAACAATTATCGAAAATAATAAATAAAAACTCAATAGTAACATAATAAACTTATCATCCATCGTCTAGAATGGGGACATGCCTGTGTAAACCAAAGTCAAGACGTTTCAAACAACGTCGACGTCTGCCAACCTCTACCATAGAATCTCCATTATCCGACACTCACCTCATCGTTAACGATAGTCTCGATTATGGGTTCCACGGAGAGCACCGGCTTATTGATGGAAGAAAATTTCACAACGTGGAAAATTCGAGATACATGATGCCTTGCGATGATGATGAGTGGGAGAGGTTGCATGTTCAGCACTACATTTGTCGTCAGACATGGAAAGGGAATTATTCGGCTCCCATGAATGAAAGATTAATCACCGGAGGTGCCCTCGTTTTGGACGCTGGGTGAGCGATTCGATTTTTTTTGTTTTTTTTTTTTTTACAAATTCTCTCGTTGGGTCCAACACTCCTACGCTAAAACAATGAATGATCGCGTCATTTAGTTGCGGTCCCGGTACGTGGGTCATAGAGATGGCGAACGAATTTCCAAGATCTCATTTCACTGGAATTGATCTCTCCCAGGTCTGTCCACGAGAGCAAAAACCAGAGAACGTGAATTTCCTGACACACAACCTGTTGGATGGTCTGCCGTACAACGATAACACTTTTGACTTCATACACATGAGATATCTCATCTCCGCCTTCAGTGAGAAGGAATGGAAGATGATCATAAAAGAACTTGTGAGGGTCACTAAAATTGGTGGAACCCTTGAAATAATGGAAGATGAAATAGAACCAAGGAATGATGGTCCCATATCAAGATTATTGTTTGGCGCGCGTGAGTGTTCTCCCTTTTTTTTTACCAGGCTATCGCGGAGCGCTGTGTTGAATATTATGTGCTGACTCTTGACATAAGTTCTTTCAGATCTCCGTTCTCGTGACATTGACGTTACAGCGTATACCCACATGATCGATATGTTGAAGGAAACACAACAACTGAAGGAGATAAAATCTGAAGAGATGTCGGTTCCATTTGGTAAATGGGCTGGCAGGATTGGTACTTTATTGGCTGAAAACACAGGTAGATGACACAATGAATTAAGGTTACTACTCTGAGTGACACTGGATGCTGACTCGTGCATTCTTGTTCTCAAGGTCGTGTGTTCCTCACGTTCAGGGCAAGATTTTCATCACACCTAGGTGTTGAGCGAGAGGAATACGATAAGCTGATCGAAGCCTGGTATGAAGAACTGAATGAATATAAACCATATAATATTGGCTATCGATTTTGGGCACAAAAGAGATGATTTTTGCTACGTGCGATCAAGATTGATCGCCTGCTCACCACGAGTGACACGAAAAAATTATACTCTAACCTTATGTAAAAAGCACCAAACTGTACATAATAGATTTGAATTTTTCATGCTGTTTGTAAAAGACTATTCTCATTTGACCTTGTATAAAGAAAGCATCTCATATTTTCTTTTCACGCAAAATGTACGCCTCCATGTAACAAAATATCAATAATATCGACATGATATTTAAAATTCATTGAATACTATAGTAGTACTATACTCATACTGTACTGAATGACATCTTATTACGGGTACATAAACTATTTTGTTGTTCCTCCTTGATGCATTTTCCTGTCGTTCTCGGTTACGCGTTTTTCGACTGACGCAAGTATGAATTACATTTATTATAACAAAATCGACCTGTTCTTACCAAATCAATCGAAATCTAATCTCCTACCATCGCACAAACATGTCCCGAGTGTTTTTTCATCGGGATTTCGCATAATCACAATACACAGGCGGCGATCTTTTTTTTCTTTTCGATTGGATTGGACGTTGATATTTTGGTTAAACTTTTTTAGTGTGCAAACATCCCCCCATTGTTATGATTTTTTTTTTTCATACACGGAGTTAATTTTATCCGGTCCCGCATGGAATAAATATGAGTTATCTATTTAAAGAATTTGAATTATCCGAATTATCTGAATTATCTGATAACACATTTTCTGTGGTCCCACTTATGTAAAGTTATCGGTGAAATTGAAAAGGTACAACAAAATCGATAGGTATTTATTATTGTAAAAAGGGGTATCAAAAAGAATCACCTTTTAAACAAATCTATCCAGAGCGAGATTGGTTTAAAAGGTTTATTCTTCCGAATTAAGTTATCGGGGATACCGTGCGACTATTATTTTCCAATAAATTTTGTCGAACCAACTTTTGGTTTTCCAAATCGAATCCAATCTTGACCAAATAATCTTGAGTGGAACCATACGTCGACCTTATATATAACAGTAGATCTTTCATTATCTGTTATTTATTTAGAGTAAAAAAAAATGTAAGCACGATATTCTTGTTTATTATAGAATAAGGTCTATCTCGGCGCGCACACCTTGGGGGACACTTTGGCAAAACATTCTGGCAGGCCAATTCTCTCCATATCCTTCATCATTGAGTGATGCACCGAAGTCAAGTGTATTTGTGAAGTCGCATAATCTTGAACTATTATCTCGTCATCTACTCCACACAAAGAAAGTGTGACCGCTAAGGTTTTAAAAGGATGCGACGTTACTAATGAAAAATGAAAACAGAAATGGAAATCTCCTCTCTCATCCAAATGTACGCGCATAGAATACCAATTATGACTCCAGTGCTATCCTTTCCGTGTTTGCAGTGTACCAATATTGGAAAATTCGATTTGTCTTTCATGATTTCAAGAATCTATTGGAAGATCTGTTAAACCAGTTGCTTTCACGTCCGTCAGACCATTTGGAAAAATACCTTGACGATCTGGTCATCACAAGATTCCAGAATATTTTTGTACATTCCCACCAACCCCCTTGGCGCCAAGACTTGCGTCATCGTCTTAGCAGCCTTAACTCGGTTGCCAGTTAAGGTATAAAAAATTATTTTCCTATGCGTATCATACATGTTAATAAAGAATGATGGTGCAGATTAGCGGGATCTTTACAGATTCAATTCAACAAAATCAGAACCAACCATCAAGAATTTACATTCTTGTCAAAAAAGGAGCGGAAGATGTTATTTTTCTTTGAAATTTCTTTCCAGGAAAATTGATGTTTACAGTCCTTCGTGGTGCCTTAACATAACTGTCTTCAGGGTCACTGTCAAACACCTTATCCCCGTTAATCGTGGAATACTGTTTGATAAAAGATCGAGTCAAACTCTCGTTGATAAAAAAAAACTTTTGAAATAACAAGAATAGAAAAAATGGTAAAGTCTCATGCTACGTCAACGCGAGGATAATCAATGGATGACTTTCGACCTTCGTGTGATCTGAATAAAAAAAAATTCGTTAGCTTACATTCAATAAAATTGCAATGGCCATCAAAAGTCAAGAGAATAAATACCCTGATCGCAAATCAATGATTGTACGAATATCGAGCTTCAATAAATTTTCGGTATCTCTCACGGTCGCATCGTCTGATTATTCGTTGCGAAAGACGCGTCATTATTTTTATCTTCACGGATGAATCTACTGTAAATGATCTTGCTTGTCACCACGCAATACCTGGCTCCCCGCTGCGAAACAAAACACCGGCTTTAATCTTCCTAATATACAGTATGTTACACGAAAGGTTGCAAATTTCCGAATCCCACGGTAATTCGAAATAAAATGACTTAATGCTACGATCGCGTACCCAACATTTTCCTCACTGAATTCAATAACTGATTCTCCCACGTCGCGGAAATTTAATATCGATTCCATGTCTCCTATCTGTCGAATCCTTAAGAAAGCAAGAACGGGGTGAGAAGGTCATGATGTTCTTTTGGTGTTTATATACTTAGACAAGTATGGATGAATGTGGAATCTCATCGGATCGGGTTAAATCTAAGTCGAAAAAAAATGAAATGATACTTGTTCAAGATTGACGGTGCTCATCAAAAATTATTGATGAATGGACACTTGTCATTAAAAGTGTATATCGATGACGAGTTATAACCCATTTTTGGATTCATAGTATTTTTTTGTCACTTGGTTGATCAATTCTTTTTTGAATGGACTAAACCAAGAAAAGATTCCACCCATCTTTTTTTCGTCAGAATTTTCGTTTAAGAGGCTACGGAAAATCAAATATATTAAGATTTGCTAATTTGTTTGCTGTGTTATATTAATTTTTGAATGCGCATTAATTAACCGGAAGAAATACGGTAATTTGAAAAGGTAGCTTTTCAAGTGGCAACTTTGTTTTTTAAAACCCCTTAATCATATTTAAAATTCCATTGCCGCGAATTTCTTTTAACTGAAACTAATCAATCATCGATAAAATAATGATCTTACTTTGTCACCGTAATCATCAGTAAGAGTTTGGTTCACCTTTGTTTCGTGTTTTGTGTTTCTTAACTAAGGACTGTGTTAATGGGTTTGTCTTAATATGAAACATACAATTCATTAAAGAATATTAAAGGGTATTTCATGCTTGTGGTTCACATTTTCTTGGGTGTCATGTGCACAAAATATTAAACTAAATATACCGTAATTTCTTTATACTTTACTCTTTTAGTAACTCCGTAGCTCCAAAATATATTATATAACTATATATTATCTTTTTAATAAATAATTAAATTTTATATTATGATTAAGGTATACAACAAATATGGATTAATGGATTACCCAAATTTTTAAGAATTCGGAATTTACTGTTTGAGATAAAATTGACGAGTCTGTCGTACGTCACGATCGCCGATCGTGTAACGTCAAAATGATGTGACACGAGGTAAGTAGTAGTGAGTAGTAAGATAAAAGAATATTTTATTGCTTTGTATATTTCTTCTTTTTATACAGTATATTACAAATCCATCTCAAAAAATTTCAAAAATCTATAAATCTTTTAAATCTAGAATATATTTTAATTGGATAATATTATCATAACTTTTTTTTTTAATATTGTTACACTTGATCTTCACCCAAGATCATCACTACCCCTTGTCCGATTTCCACTAGCATTTACCCTTGAAATG